TGGAATCATTTACTGTTATGAAGTTTTGGAGGAGTTGTTCATTGTATTCTTGATTAATCTTCTTTATACCTGTAATTATTTTCTCATTTCATTTCTCATATAGTTTGTGTCTTTTTATAATCAGATTAAATATTTGACTATTTTATTGTTCTTTTGAAATAGCAGCTATTTATTGGCTTATTGATTAAATCTTTCATATATTTGTATTTTTTATTGATTTCTGCTTTCCCTTTTAAATTCCTTTTTTGTACTTCTGGATTTGTAAAATTTTTTCTTTCCAGATTCAGAGCGGGCTGTTTTCTCATATTTTTTTCTCTTTGTTTGCCTTTTGCTTTTTATTTTTTATTTTTCCCCAATGATGATCAAGCTTAGGGCCAAACATATGCCAGGCAAGTGATCTACCTGTGAGCTACATCTCCAGCCCATTCTGCACTTTTTTAGTGGGAGGATTCTTCAACTTTTCCTGGCCATTATAATTCAATTTTCATTTTTTCTCCCTTTCCTCTTTCTCTTCCTCCTCCTCCCTCCTCCTCCTTCCCTTTTCCTTTCTCCTTTCTCCCTCCTCCCTTCTCCCCTTCCCCCTCTCCCTATCTCTCCCCCTTTTTCTTCCTCCTTCCTTTACCCCCTTCCTCTTTCCCCTCCCCCTCCTCCCCCTCCCCTCCCCTCCCTTCTTCCTCCTTCTCCCCTCCCCTCCCTTCCTCCTCCTCCTCCTCCTCCTCCTCCTCCTCCTCCTCCTCCTCCTCCTCCTCCTCCTCCTCCTTCTTCTTCTTCTCTCTCTCTCTCTCTCTCTCTCTCTCTCTCTCTCTCTCTCTCTCGGAATTGAACCCAGGGGTGCTCTACCACTGAGCTATATCTCCAGAGTCCATTTTATGTTTTTACTTTGAGATAGGGTTCTGCTAAGTTATTGAGGTTGACCTTGAACTTGTGATCCTCCTGTCTCGGCCTCCCTAGTTGGTGAGTCCTCTCTCTTTTCCTTTCTTCTCTTTTCCTTTCTTCTCTTTTCCTTTTCTCTCTTTTCTTTTCCTTTTTAACTGTGTTTCTTTGGAGGTTAGTGCTTCAATCTGAGTCTCATTCTTGATGCTTATTTGTTGATTCTTGATTTATTCAGATTTAAAATTAAAGAGCCTAGGTTAACTATATAAGATTTTCTCCAGCTCTAATAAGAATTCCTTTTATATGTCATCAAGTCTAGGTTCTGATTAAAGGGTCTATCCTCCAATGATTATAAAGGAAGAATGGAATTTGCAGGTAGTTTACCTTTGAGTTCTGAGACTTTCCCTTTTTCCTGAATCTCTTAAGTAAATTTGGGACATTTTCCCACCTCTTTTCAAGGCCCTCACTGCAAAAATTTTCATTTTTTCATTTCGATTTTCATTTTTTACTTCATATATGAAGCTGTTATGTACACTAGAATTGTCTTGTGGTTATCCAAGTCTGAGCTATTATATACTTTATCATTTTGTAATGTTAATTCTTTCTCATTACTTTTCTCTCCCCCACTCCTTTTTTTTTTCTTACCATGAATGTATTTTTTTCCCCCAAATTTGGTGAAGAAAGGACTTTGGTGGAATAAAAGGCAATTATTTGCATTTGAAGGAAAAAAATAATAGGAGGGATTTCAGTTAGAAAGTAACACCTCAGACTCTGTTGTTCATAATATTGGTGAGAAACTCTGCAGATCTTTTTAGTAAACTTGGAACAAACCCATTTATCATTATCCTTTGTTAAAATTATCTCACATTTTATCTTTTCATGTGCTTTTAGGATAATACAGTTAAAAAGAACTATGTATTATATTTTGATTGAAAGTCCACCCAATGTTCAAATTAGTTACAAATGATTGTCAGCCTTATAACATTTAGGATTCCCTTTCTGGGACATAGGATATTGGCAGATGTGTCAGAGTTTTAATTAAATTACTTTTGATAAAGAAGCAGTTAAAATTTATCTTCAAAATAGCCACAGGTATATTTCATAGTCACCAGCATTTTTCTACTTAGTTAATTAAGCACCAATAAAACAATAAACAGTTGAATTACCAATAATGAAGATATATTTTTAAAATCTTCAATACAAATGGAGATTTAAAAACATACCAGATAGTTGAAAACACTAAAGGATTATTGTTAATGTGATAGCTGTGTTAACAGTATTTGGTTATATTGTTTTAAAAGTGAATTTTTCTACATACACACTGAGATGTTATCTGGGATTTGCTTCAAAGTTGTGTGAGGTAGAAAGTATATACGAGTGTGAAACAAGATTGGTCATAAGTTGCTAAGTTAGAGTTGATAGTTGTTGGATTCATTATACTATTCTGTTTCCTTTTGTATATGTTTTAAATTTTCCATAATAAAAAGATAAATATAGAATGCCAAAGGAAAGAACTATAAGTAATTATGACAAGTAGAGCTAACTACATTGATAAAATCAGGACAAAAATACTTTTCAAAATTGATTCTGTGGTTCCCTGCCTGCTTAAAAGTAAACTTTGAACTCAAGCAAAGTTATTAAGTAGGCTTTGTTATATTCTTCACTTGATTTTAGCCAAAGGCTGAGAAGCAATGTTTAAAATATTGTTTATTTCCTAGTGTCTTCTTTCATCTTAGTGTAGTGTGGTTTTCCTCCTTCTTGGTTTAAGTGTACATTGTGTTGCCATTCACCTCTTACTTCTCTTTTCCTTTCTTCTCTTTTCCTTTTCTCTCCTTTCTTTTCCTTTTTCCTTTTTAGCTGTGTTTTTTTAAATATAGAGTAGGAGACCTAGAGGTGAATCTGTACAAATAAAAGCACAGAATAATGTTTTGGGAGGGGAATCATGGATAGAAGTCAAGAAATATAGCTAACAGAGTATTAGAAAAGTATTTGAGCATTTGGAAGAATACTGATAGAAATGTGATGATTGCTGGAACATTTGGAAAAAACTCAAGAGTTCTATATGAAAAGAACTGTTGATTTTATTAAAAATTCAAAGTTGGGGAAAATAGGGCAGATAAATGATTATCTCCAGTGACCCACCTCCTACCATCCACACCCCACCTGCCTATAGTTACCACCTAGTACAGTAGTCCTTTCAAATTAGGATGGTTTGGTTACAACTCTTTTAATATAATCATTTCATCTCTGAATATTTGTGCCTTGATACCGCTTTTGGGGGACACCTCATATCCAAATGATAACACACTGTTGGTTTTATTTTAATGAAGATAAGTATTCTAAAATTAACTGCAGTGTTAATAAATTTATTTTAAAGTAACATCAAAATGAGATAAAACTAAAAATTAATTCTAATAAAATTAAACTATAATATTGATTGAGGGAGGGAATCTAGCTTTATTGTCTTACATGTGCATTTGTCTCAGTATCAATTTTGGAAAAGACCATTTTTATGGGATTGTTTCTGGACTCTTGTTACTTGTATATATGTTAGTACCACACGGTTTTAATTATTATTGCTTGTTAGTTTTGAAACTAAAAAATGTGTATTTCATTCTTCTCACTAAAGATTATTTTTGCAATTCTGAATCCTTTGTGGTTCATATGAATTTTAGAATTAGCCTGTCAATTTCTGTAAAAAAAAAAAAAGATAGCTGTAATTTTGAGATTTTGATAGGAATTACATTACACCTGTACATCAATTTGGATAGTACTGCCATGTAAGCAATATTAAGTATTTTAGTCCATGAACATGAGATGTTTTTCCATTCATTGAGGTCAACATTCAATCTTTATAAAATTTTTTCATAAAATTTTAGTAAGCAAATTTTATGGGGTTTTTTTTGGGGGGGGGTTACATTATTGTTCAGCTTTTTTTTTTTTTTGAGGCTACTATAAAAGCAGTGTTTTGTTTTTTGTTTTTGGATTATTTGTTACTAATGTATAAAAATACATTTGATTTTTGTATATTGATTCTCGTATCCAAAACTTCAGTGAATTAATTTATTTATTCTAATAAATATTTTGTGTATTAGGATTTTCCATATGGAAGATCATATTTTCAAATAGAGATTGTTTGACTTACTCCTTTTTCATCTGGTTGCCATTTATTTATTTGTTTTGCTTATCTGCCCTGGCTAGAAACTCTAATACAAAACTGAAAAGAAATGCTAAAAAAAAAAAATGGGTAACTGGTTTCTTATTCCTCATCTTCAAGAGCAACCATCTAGTCTTCAAAGTTTGCTTCAGGTTGTTGTGGATGTCCTTTAGGAGATTTGAGAAATTTTTGTTTTACCCCTAGTTTGGTTATTAAAAAATATATATATTTTTCTCCTGAATCATGAGAGGGCTTTGGTTTTGTCAAATGCTTTCTTTTTTGTCTATTGAGATGGCATTTTTTTTGTCCTCAGTTTCTTGGTATATTATATTGATTGACCATTTTGTGTTCATATATTGGACCATTTTGTATTCCTGAGATAAATTGAACATGGCATTTGTGTACAGTCCTTTTTACATGTTGCTGGATTCACTTTGCTAGCATTTTATTAAAGGTTTTTGCATCTGTATTCATAAGGGATATTGACTATGATTTTATTGTGATGTCTTTATCAGGGAAACTGGTTTCACAGAATGAGTTGTAAAGTGATCCCACTTCTTGTATATATTTAGAAGAATTTGTGAGGAATTAGTTTTAACTCTTTATAAATGTTTGGTGGAATTTGTCAGTGATGCCTCATTCTGGGCCTGTGGGGAGTTTTTTGATTACTGACTCAGTCGTCTTATTTATTTATTATTGACTCAGTCTTCTTATTTATAATATAAAGCAATGCAAATTCTAACATGTATAAGGTGTAGTCTGATACAGCCCAAATTGCATATAAATTTTTATCCTGTTACGAATGCACAAGAAGTCAACTTGAAACTCATACTCTTTAACTATTTCGTTTTTAAAATGTGATTTTTCAGAGTGTTATTAATGTGTTTATTTGCATTATTTTATAATCGTTGGCTTAGAATTTAAGTGGTTTTGTTTTGTTTTATTTTGTTTTATGTTGCTTTTATCTCAGCAGCAATGCAGCAAGTCTTGGAAAACCTTACGGAGCTGCCCTCATCTACAGGAGCAGAAGAAATAGACCTAATTTTCCTCAAGGGGATTATGGAGAATCCTATTGTAAAATCACTTGCTAAGGTATATTGGTTTATGCATAAGATTGTTGGATTATGTTGGAAATCGTTTTTATAAAAGTCTTTTGAGATACTACTATTTTAGAACTTGGTTGATATGCTTTAGGCATAGTTAGCCAGTAGTAAGTAACCCTTATCACATAATGAAATCCTAATGTGGGTGAAAATCAGGCCACTTTTGCCCTTTCTGTTCTTCTTTAAATACAGAATGAAATAACACTAGTTTTTGGCCTAACGCATTTAAGGTTTAGAGAGATCACAGGAGCACAGTCTTAAAAAGATTTTGGTTCTACCTCTAGTTTTAATAAATTAATATTTTAATTGATTATTTTCTTTTACATTATCCACATGTACCTTTTTTCTCATTTATTTTCTTAACTTCCTTTATGTAGTACATTTAAAATTTTTCTTTTTTTGCATAAATTTGACATTTTAAGTCTGTTTCTGTAGTCAACTCTGGAGCAGCCTTCTTACTTCATTCATAGTTTACAACCATTTTTAGTGTGGGGGGGTCCACTTTTATTTCATTTATCCTACTTCCCCATATGATTATTAAGTATTTCTGAAGTATAATCCCTTCTACTTACCTCTGCTCTCCCATTCTTTACAGTTGCTCAAAATGGTTCTGGCTTCCAACAACGTATATGACATGCCTTCTCTGACCTCTCCTTCATATAGTCACTTCATTCTTTTTTCTGTTGTATACCTAGAATGTTGATTATATCCTCTCCTATGATCTTTTGAAGGCCAGTCTCTTGTTCAAGACTTCTAGAAAATCATACCTTTTACGAAGTATTCCATTAATATGAATTAGTAAATGATACAGATTTTTCATTTTGTTCTTGCAGTTACTTGTGCTAAGGTCATGTTATAAAGATACCTATGTAGAAATGAATCCACTTGCAGATTGCAACAGGAATTTTTATTTTTATTTTTATTATCTTTTATTGCAGTTTTCCCAAGTTTATTACTTATTCCTATATTTCAGTAATAATACACAGGATATTATTTACCTTTATGTTCAGACTTCTTGTCATTAATCACTTCACCTTGTTGAGATAAAGTAATAACTTCCAGGGCTTGTTAAAATAAGCAGGAGTGTTTAAGTCAATATTAAATAGCTTACCATGCATTTATATTGGTACTTTAAAAATAGTTTTTACCCTTTCCTTGATGTCAAACTGTTATTATTTTTTATTTCCATGAATCAGTTATCCCCCTATCCCCAAGTTTATTTAATTAAATGGCTTTTGATCTATAGATTTATAAACTATAATAATAGTGTAAGTCACTCTACAGCATGATTATAGCTTATACAGGTCTTTAAAATATTTTAAAATATTTTTTTAAAAAATGTTTTGTCTTTGCAATAGCATTATGAACTTAAAATATACTATTTTATATTTGTAAATTGAAAACTAAGACTCAAAGTAGGCAAACAATTTGATTAAGGTCACTTTATTAGTAAATGACAGAGGTAAGGCTTAGAGCAGTTGTTCTGGCTTTAAATTCTGTATTGTATCTACTGAAATACAGGTGTTGGGGTGTGTGTGTGTGTGTGTGTTCATTTCTTAACAACCTTTATGTATAATTTTTTTATTAATTTTGCCATTGATGATGACCTTCCAGAAGGTCATCTATTCATTATTATTAGCAGTTGAAATGACTGGATAACTTTTGAGCAGGTAAATTGCAACTGTACTCTTGTTAATGAAAAATGAAATAAAAAAAGAATCATCATATAATATTCAATATTCAAGCAGATTCTCCGTAAATAAAAGCAATGCTAGCTCTGTATTCCTAAAATGTATATAAAGAAATTGCAGGAGTAAGAGAAGACTTCTACTTCCAAGAAAGGGATACTGAATCACAGGCCAGTGCTTTCAATACAAGTAGAAAACAAAGAGGCGTGCATTGCTAGATATGCTGAAAGGTGAGAAAATATGACCAATAATCAGGAGAAAACAAAAGAAGCAGCACCATAGATAGATTGGACTTTGTAAATAAGCATTTTAAAATTACTAATATATCTTATATAATAAAGTTACTAATATATTAAGTTACTAATATATTTTTAATAGAAGAGAAAAACATGGAGACATTTAAAATATTATTAGAAAATCTGAAGTGAAATTAATTATAGACATTTTAGAACTCATTATTTAGGACACAGTATTTGAAATTAGCTCGTTTGATGTGATTAATAGAAGACTAAACATAGCAGAAGAGGGAATTAGTGAATTTGAAGATAAGTCAATAGAAAAATCCAAACAAAAGTGCAGACAAAAGAATGGAAAAACCAGGAAAAAAAAAGAATATGTGAAGTATAATCAAAAGATCTGACATACATGTAATTAATATCCCAGAAAGGGAGGGGAGGGGGATGAAGAAATATTTGGAAGTACAATGGTCAAGAATTTTCAAAACAATAGCATTAACTGTGACAGTTTCAGGAAGCCAAGTAAACTTTTGAACAGGAGAAATATAAACACATAGCTAGGAACATCATAAACTCCTAAAGCTCAAAGATAAAATGAAAATTTACAAACAACCAGAGGAAAAAAGACACATTACCTTTAAGAGAAAATAAGAATAATGGGTAATACAGAGTATGTTGGCACATGTCTTTAATCCCAGCAGCTTGGGAGGCTGAGACAGGAGGATTGCATGTTCAAGCCCAGCCTCAGCAATTTAGCAAGGCCCTAAGCAACTTAGTGAAACCTTATCTCAATATTAGAAAAATAAAAAGGACTGGGGATGTCGCTCAATGTTAAAGCTACGGATTTAATCCCTAGTATACCCTGTCCAAAAAAGAATAATGGGAGCAATGAAACAGAAACAATGAAATTCATAATATAGTAGATTGAAATTTTTAAAGTCCACCCCCCAAAAAATTACACTGCCACTTTTGCATTCCTTATCTAGCAAAAGCAAACCCAAAATGTGAAATCCAAAAAGAGTTTTTTTCCAGACAGACAAAATCTAAAAAAAAAAAAAAAAAAAACTTTTAAGAAGCACAAGAAGGCTAGAGTTGTTGGCTCAGCGGTAGACCACTCACCCAATACATGTGAGGCCCTGGGTTGGATCCTCAGCACCACATATAAATAAATAAAATAAAGGTATTGTGCCCACCTACAACTAAAAAAAATATTTAAAAAACACAAGAGAAAGTCTGGCAGAAAGGATGACAAAGGAAAGGGAATATTAATGGATAACTACAAAATAGTTTTGATTTTAAGATGAAGTAATAATGTCTTATGACATTTTATAAAACACACACACACACACACACACACACACGGAGATGGTAGTCCAAAAGGAGGAAGAGACTTAATTATCAAATAATTGTTAAAAAGACTGGGGATGTCGCTCAATGTTAAAGCTACGGGATTTATCCAAGAAGAGATAAAAGTACTGGCTTAAGTAGACTGTATGTATGTCAGGGATGCATATCAATACTTTAGGTTAAAAACCAAAAGTTACAAGAGTTAATTTATTTCACCCAAGTCATAAAGGAGAAAATATAGTTTGAAAATATTCTCACTCACTCCTGAAAGAACTAGAAAAGTTACCCAAATAAAGAGGAGAAACCGTCTTCAGATATTGAGCAACAGATAGCACAGGATTGTGATCCCTAGAGAAAGGAAACAATTGAGGTGGACATTTTGAAAACATCTGGGGTAATTTTTAGACAAACACAGCCCAGTAGTTTTGACAGTACTTGGAATTCTGCAGGGTCTAGGCTAACTGGAATTTATGGAGCAGAATATCAGAGAAGAGGAAACTGAACACAGAATGAGCTTTGGAATTCTACACAGGGATGTCCTATATCTTTGGCTGAGTGACCTGAACATGTTTGCAGTGTAAACCTCCTCAGTCTCAGGAAAGATCTACTGGAAATTAGTATGCCAAACAATTTCTGGAGCTCACCAAGGACAGATAATCATTAGAATTCCTGCTATCCTGAATATCTTCACAATACACAAGACACTGGACAGAATTCATATCCAGCATATTATAGAGAGTGGTCTTGGAAACTGATTTTATATATATATATATATATATATATATATATATATATATATATATATATATATATATATATATATATATATATATATATATATATATATATATATATATATATAATTTTGCAGCAGAAATAAACTGAGAATCTATAACAAAGTCATTTGGAAAACCAAAAAATCCCCAGACAGTTGGAAAGTAAATAGCATTATTCTTCTAAAAAACCATTAGTCTTGCCTAGGGATGTATTTCAGTGGTAGAATGTTTGCCTAAAATGTCTGATGCCTGGGTTTTCAATCCCCAGCACCTCAAAAAAAAAAAAATAGACAGTAACTAAATAACTATGAGTCATAGAAGAAATCACAAAACCTATTTTTAATTGAATGAAAATTTTAAAAAGACATGTCAAATCTTATGAAGGTACAATCAAACAATACTTAGAGGAAAACACCTATATTGAAAAGAACAATATTCCAAATCAGTGATCTAAATGTCAGCCTTAATAAAAATATAAAAAGAACAAATGTAATCCAATATATTCACAAAGAAGTAAATGATAAAGCTAAATGTGGGCCTAAAAAGACAAACTAGAGAAAAAAAATCAGTGTAACTTCGATATATCAATAAAACTGATAAAACTCTATTTAGACACAAATTTCCAGTATCAGGAATGAAAAAGAGAACATCACTACAACTCCAACAGACATTGTAGGGATAATAAGAAAAATAATGAGCAACCTTTTGACAGCAAATACAACTTAGATGAAATTGATTAATTCCTTGAAAGACACAAAAGTCCCACATGAGAATAGATAACCTCAATAGCCCTATATATATTTTTTTAATTAAATATTTGAAGTTTCTAATCTTCCTTGAAAAGAAGCTCCAATCCTAGATATCTTCATCAATAAATTGTATCAAACAATTAAGGAAGAATTATATTAATTTTGTATGTTTTTTTCCAGAAAAAAAGGAAGG